TATATATATAGAGAGAGAGAGAGAGAGAGAGAGAGAGAGAGAGAGAGAGATCATTTAGGAGGCTGTCTTTTACATGCCTACCAGGGCCAACACAGGTTGAGGAGGATATAACGTCGTCCCAACCACACAAAAAAAAACCGACGTATTCAACAAAATTGTCCCCCGCACGGGATTCAAACCCAGCTTTGTGGGTGGTTAGCGGGTGCTCTGGTGTGGTTTGCTTCTTCTTTCCTATCAGATTATTGTCTTTTTCTTCCCTCCTTCGTTTTTGTGTTTGTTACTCTCTTGTAACACCTCTAATATTCGGCACTTATATGACCTTATTGTGTTGCAAGTGCCGTAAAACTCTTATTAAAACTAAAAACCCAGCTTTATTGCGTGTGACGGCAAAATGTGCCTAACCGCTACACCGCAGACGCGGGCTGAGAGAAAAACAAAATGGCGAAGATAAACAAACGCACACTTGCGCGTGCACCCATACATACATGCAAGTGCCTCAACACTCTTCCTAAAACCGTACCTGACTTTGACCTTGTGAACTTCCTCCTCAGATGCTTATCTTTGATCTCGGCCTGTGGGAGAGAGCGAGAAAAACTAAACCTGTGACATTGTATTTCCACACACACACACACACATATATATATATATATATATATAACCCACCCGTTATATACAAACACACACACACGCACACATACAAACACATGCACACGCACGCAAAAGCCTATATACATACATACGCACACAAACGCAGGCTCACATACACTAGCAAAACGTCAATAACCACAAACACACCCATCAAATAACCGATCACAAACATCCACAACACACCCATACAACACACGCCCACAACACACACCCAAACGCCCAAAACAATCATCCACAACACACCCATACAACACACGCCCACAACACAAACACTGCAACACACTCATAACACATACCCTAAAACATAAACCTACAACAGGCTCACAACACACACCCATAATACAACCACAACACACCCTCAACACACCTCAACACACACCTAACAACACACCCGCAACACATCCACCAATATAAACACAGAACAAGCTCACAATACACACCTACAACACGTCCCCAACGCACCCACAATACACACGCCAACACACCCACAACACAACCAAAACACACCCACCAACACACCCACAACACACCAATAACACACCAATAACACAATCACCAACACACCCAACACACCCAACAACACACCCACCAATACACCCAACAATATACCCAACAACACACCCACAAACACATCAACCAACACACACCCACAACACACGCCCACAACACACACCCACCAACACACCCAACAACACACCCAACAACACATCCAACAAACACACCCACAACACACCCTCTAACTCACCCATTTCTTCCTCACTGCCGGCACCGTATACAACACAGGGTTCAAGGCCGAGTTCACAGGCAGAACCAGCACTGCGGACCAGGCGTACACCTCACCTCCTATGTCCTGTCCCGAAATGGCCATCAATCCTGCGGCATTGTGATTGAAATTCCAGCTGTTTTACGTTCCAATCAACATAAATTTAGATCATTTAAGAAGCGGGTTGCTTTGAACTGTCTGACAGGGCCAACCTGGGCTGAGAGGTTTCCATCTACAACGTCCCAGCATTCAGACGCCACACAAAGCTGATATTATAAAATCAATAACTGAAGAAATTTTACTAGATATTTACCCACAAGTAGTAATACAGGTGTGTTACG